GCTCAAGATGCAGCCAGAGTTGCAGCCAAAAAAAAAAACAAGACGTGTATGTATGCTAGCATTAGTCGACTAGCAGATGCCCTGTAAGGGGAAGAAATTAAATTGATTGATTATTGATTTTCATTAAGTTGCTATGAAATTTTCAGAGAAGTTTTGATAAGGCATAAGATTATTATAATAATAAAATTATATAAATCCGAACCTGCAGATAAATGTTTAGGAAAGGGAAAAAAAAATTCAAAAAAAAGTTAGATAAGTCCAAAGATTGTTATACTAATATACTACTTGTTATACTAATATAATATAAATGTTTAAGAAAGGGAATAACCATTTTTATAAAAGTTAGATAGGGCATAAAATAACATAAGACCCAGACTACAGATAAATGCTTAAGAAAGGGAATACAATTTTTTATAATAGGTTTAAAAAGCATAAGATAATTATAATAATATAAAATAGCACTGTGTCAACAGATAACTATTTAGGAATAGAAATAAAAATTGCATTCATTTTTATCGGAATTGAGGCAAATTGGGGTTAAATGTTTTCAACTCTTTTAAATTTTTACTTTTTATTATTGTCTAAAATCTTTCTTGTGGCTATTTTCCACCTTTATAATACTCGCTTATTAAGGATTGAAATTATGCTGACCGATTTCAGAGATTATACTTTGGGCATATGCCAAATTTTCTAGTTCCAGCTGCTTTATTCTATGAGATCTGAGAAACATACGAGCAAGACTTAACTCAAACCTTGATTTCCATAAATAATTACATATATCATTCATATTCAGATCTGTATCGTAAGCTACCCTTTGGCTATTTCCAACTGCCACACAGGGTATTCAAGAGCCAAAGTGTGAAATGAAATGTTGCCCGCAACGCGATTCTCTTTTTCTTTTCTTCTCGTTTGTTTTTTTTTCGATTTGGCGAATTGCTGCATTTAGCGCTCTCTGCATTTGTTTTTGCTGCCTTTTGTTGTTGATTAATAACAATTGATAAGCTGCCCCCGAAGGCTGGCCAAGCCGAGTCCCCACCGGCTGCCGATGGCGTTGATTGCCACAAGGTGGCAACATTTTCGCGCGAAAATGAAGATTTTCGTTATCAGCAGCAACTCCGGCAACTCCGGCAACGCCGGCAACACTGGCAGCGATTGTGCGACTCACGTTTTTCAATTTGTTTGGCCGCAACCCGCTGGGAAAATTTGTTTAATTATAACTCACTAAAATAGTTGCTCCTGCTGCCTGCTGCTGCTTCCACTCCCACGCCTTGGCACGCCCCCCACTAAACATTAGGCATACGCCCCCCATGCAACTGTTGCAAGTACAGCCCAGCCCAGCCCGGCTTGCAACAAGCCGACGCGACCAGACCAACTGGCGTCGCAGCTGGACCTGCCCTGCCTAGGCCTAGCGACTGGCTGCGTCTGCTTTGCCACACAGCGATCAAGATTCCAAAAAACTCTGGCCAAAAAAACTTGAGCTTGGTGCTCAGCTACTCTTTGGAGTTTTTTTCCTTACATATACCCTGTATTTTTGAATAAAATGGGGTACCTTGAGTTATGCTTAAGCTTGGTAACATGCGAAAGAAGGCATCCGGTACAGCCTCATGCTAAGAGTATCCTAATCAGCATTAGCAGCCGAGTTGAGCTCGTAAGGTCCGCCTGTACGTTTGCTGAAAATCGATATCAATCGATATTAATCGATTTTCAGACTTAGCCTTTTGGGCATATCTCCGAATATAAAGACCTTAAGCCATCAAATTTGGCATATAGCTTCGCCTTGAGCAAACTATTATCGATAACATTTAATGTTCTATAAAAATCGATAATTATATTGCTTTGCAGACTCGGTACTTCGAGCATTTTTGGAGATGATTAAAACTACAGTTTGTCTTTCGAGTACATCTCGTAGAATATACGAGCCAAATATGGCCTGCCTTATTATCGATTAACATAGGTATGCTTATAATTATCGATAACTTTTCAATTTCTATCAAAATCGGAAAGTATCGATTTTCTGGATTTGGAATTCTTTGAGCATATCTCGAAAATTACAGGAACTACTCTCTAATTATCGATATATTTTTGTATAACGAAATCGATAAATGTCGATTTTTAGTTTCGTTTCGAGCATTTTGAGCATTTCTCGGAAATATAATGAGCTACAGTTTATTGATCGTTAACTTTGCCTTTTATATCAAAATCGATAAATATCGACTTTCAGACTCCGTTTTTTTTAGCATATCTCGCAGACTATTGAAGCTACAGACACAAAATTTGCCAGCTAGGCTCAATTTTTAGCACACACATATAATATTGAATATCTTTCGCCCAGTTCTGTCAAAATTGAAAAAGAAGAAGGAGGAAGCACAGCTGCTCTCTAAACCGTATGAATGTGCTGATGTTCGCAGGGTATCTTTTAGTCGTGCCCTCCCATTTAGAGCTTTCTTGTTACTTTTATTTCTTTTCATTTATTTTTTTTTTGTGAGTTAACTGACCTTCGGCTCGCAACGATTAGCCGCGATGGCGGTCCGGCATTCACCAGCGACAAATGAACAAAGGGTCGCCTTGCCCTTGCGCCCCCCCCCCTCCCTCCCCTCAATCCAGCCCGGCTCCACACACACAGGCTGGCCCTGGTTTAAGCCAAATTGCTCGATTGTTTATGGCTGCATACAACGCCCACCAGCAGCAGCAGCAGCAGCAGCAGCAGCGGCGGCAGCAACAATGCTGGCCAAGTGAGAAACCAGCAACAATAATCTGCCGGCTGATAAAGTGCAACAGCAGGCTGCACCCGCTGCACCCCCAACGCTCAAGCTGTGTGTGTGTGTGTTTGTGTGTGTGTGTGTGTGTGTCGCTTATCGGCGACGATCGATCGCAAACGGCGACGGCAACGGCAACGGCGCGGCGCAGCTGATTTAACAAATTGATAAACAATTGTTGGCGTTGGCGATGCAAGTGCGAGTGTGTGTGTGTGTTGTGTGTGTGTTGTGTGTGTGTGTAAAACTATTGCTGAGGTGTGCGAGACGACCTTACGAAATGGCTAAACAAACGAAAGAGCAACAACAATAAAATGACGCAGCGCAAAGCTAATCCTCAGCAGCAACAGCAACAGCAGCAGCAGCAGTAATAGCAGCAGCAGCAGCAGCGACGGCAGCAGCAGCAGCTGTCGCTGCCGGCAGCAACTGCAGCTTTTGGAGCCCATTGTTAGCGTCTTTGCGCCTGGCTAAGCTTTGTCCATACACAAACTGGCTAAGCTGCGAAGCTGGAGCTGAAGCTGGAGTTGCTGCTGCTGCTGCTGTTGCTGTTGCTGTTGTTGCTGGCGTGTAGTCTGCGCCGTAACCGGCAAACACTTTACGTGTGCTGCTTATCGCGCGCCAATCGATGGCAATAAATATCTTACAAATAAGCAGAATGCGCTGGAATGCGCCGGGCCAGAGAGGAGTCGGGACGGGCAGAAGCTCCAGCTCCAGCTCGAGCTCGAGCTGGGGCCATGGGTCGCTTTCAATGGAAGCTTTTTTTTTTTTTGGGGTAGAGATGGCGAACGCGCGATGCTGTCTGATTGTTCACGTGGTGCAGCATTTGTGTGTGAATTCGTGAAAATCGACACTGCAATTAGGGCGAACGTGCGGTGGGCGCAACCGCGGCGCGTCAATGCGTCCCAAGCAATCAAAAGACTGAGGCGACGAACTTGCCCACAAACAGCAACAACTGCAACAACAGCAACAAGAACGGCAACAAATTACAGTTGCAGCAGGCAAAGCAGGCAACAAACGGGCAACAAGTTGCGCCTGACATTTCAATAGCCCACAATTGACAGGTCAACGCGCATTGGCGGCCCGCACGAGCAGCCTGCTCCGTCCCGGTCCCGGTCCCGGTCCGAACCGAATCGAAGCGAAGCTCTCTGTGGGCCGCTTTATCGGCGCCTTCATATCTATTTGCTGGCCATGTTGCTGTCCGGGCAACTGTTGCTGCTGCCGCTGCCGCTTATCTGCCGCATCGCTGGTCGTTATAATATTTTGTGGCCAAAACAAATACAAATCAGATGTCAGACGGAGCCGTTTGCTCTAATCATCAACTGTGCACAGGTCTGACCACCATGCGGCTTTTCCAGTTGCCAGCTTTTCCACGTAATCCGCAACAGCCACGAGATGCGTTCGCGGGATAAATGTTTCTCTTGGGCCAAATGGTCGATTGGTCGCCTGCTCGATTGGTCGGCCTGGTCAACGTGGTCGACAACCTCGCGACTCTCGAGTCTCTCAACTGGGGACAACGTCGCATTGTTTTCACAGCTGCCTGTCGACTCGACTCTCAACTCGCAACGCTGACAATTTGTTCGATAATAATTGCTAACCTCTGGCCGCATTTGATGCATACATGGAATTCGCCTGGCAGCCGGGCAGTCGGCCAGCCGGGCAATCAAATTTGTTAACTGTTTGGTCTTTTATACAGATACGGGCAGAATTTACCCGGCGTCGCACGCTGCTCAGTTTGTGGCGTAATAAACAAATATAAATAAGTGAAGAGTTGCTGCTGAATTTGAACCGGCGATTTCTCGCTTGTTAGTCCGACGCAGGTTCATGAAATATACCCGAATTTTTCAACAATAAAATAAATAATAACACAACAATAAGAAGTTTTGTCATACTTCCATTTTACATCCGTCCCTTATATTAGTTTAAATATATTCTTTACGTTGGGCGCCTTTATTTACTTAGACGCATTTTTCATCAATAAAATAAATAATAATAACATGCTTAAAAGTTTTCCATGCTTCCATTTTACACCCATCCTTTATATAACTTTAAATATATTCTATTGTAAACCTACGTTGGGCGCCTTTATTTAGTTCGACGCAGGCTCATTTTTCAACAATAAAATAAAAAATAAAAAACAATAAGAAGTCCATACATCCATCTTACACCGTTCCCTATTTTAACTTAAAATATATACTCTTTGCTTTACACGTTGGGCGCCTTTATTTATTTATTTTTGCATCTTTGCAGAATCCAAAGATTTGGGCGCACACGAGCTTAGCGAGGAGAAACAACAACAGCAGCCCCCTGAGGACGAGCAGCTGGAGAACCAAACTAACAACTCCTCCGAACAGCCCGAGGAGACTGACATGGATCAGGACATGGTCGAGGAGGCGCAGGCAGCACAGGAGGTTAGCGCCCGTGTGGGCGACAGCTCGACGACGCCGCCGCGCAGTCCCACGCCCGAGCTGGTGCCCAAGCTGGAGCGGGCGGATACGCCGGTGACGCCGCCTTCAGCGGCAGCCACGCCCAGTCCGCCGGCAACGCCCACGCCGCCGACAATGCTGCCCAAGCTGCGTCTGAATGCGCTGCTCGCCTCCGATCCGGCTCTGAAGCCGGACGCCAAGGAGCTGCATCCGCACGAGCCACGCCTGCTGGCGCCACCGCCGCAGCTGGCCAAGCCCGAGCCACAGCAGCAGCAGATGCTGCCTGATGCCAGCAGCCTGGTGGAGCCGCTGCTGAAGCCGGCGCGGTTTATGTGCCTGCCCTGCGGCATAGCCTTCAGCTCGCCCTCAACGCTGGAGGCGCACCAGGCTTACTATTGCTCGCATCGCAACAAGGACGCCGACGAGGAGACGCCCGCCGGCGACAAGTCGTCATCCGGCACAGCAGCTGGCGCCGGCTCCGGCGGCGGCAGCAATGCCAACAGCAGCTCCAGCGGCGGCAGCTCGGGCTCGGAGCCAGCCGCAAAAATGGCACGGACGGGCAAGCAATATGCGTGCACGCAGTGCTCCTACAGCGCCGACAAGAAGGTCTCCCTCAATCGGCACATGCGCATGCATCAGACCTCGCCGGCGGCGGCGGCGCCCAGCCTCAACAGCCTGGTGGCCAACGGGGGCGTGGCTGCCACGGCCGAGGATAGCTCTAGTCAAGTGAGTTGGTTGACGCGCCGCTCGACGCCCAGCCCAAAAGCTAACGTGATTCCCCTGCTCTCCCCACAGCAAATCGATCGCTACTGCAGCGACTGTGATATACGCTTCAACAACATCAAGACCTACCGCGCCCACAAGCAGCACTACTGCAGCTCGCGCCGCAGCGACGGACAGCTGACGCCCAAGCCGGAAGCGGGCGCCGGCACAATTGGCGGCCCCGGCGCCGCAGCAACAGCTGTGGCAGCCACTGCCGCCGCTGGGGGCAAGCACAGCGGCGCCCACAGTCCGCAGAGCAGCACGCGCAACAAGACGCCCACGCCGGCAATGGTTGCTGCTGCTGCAGCGGCTGCGGCTGCCGCTGCTGCCGCCGCCGCCTCGCTGCAGGTGGCGCCGCCGCAGCCCTTCCTGGCGCTGCCCACCAATCCCATCATCATAGTGCCCTGCTCGCTCATACGCGCTGCCAGCCTAATACCGGGACCACTGTGAGTATTTACTGATAAATATAACCTCGACAGCAAATCCAAATCGAACTAGGGCTCAGCAATGAGTCTAACGTAACGCGTTTCGAATACTCAAACAATTAATTAAGTCGCACGAGTCATGACTCAAACTTGTTAGCACTGAGCTGTTCGAGTTGCAGACTAAGAATTGAGTCGCTCGACTTGACAGCACATTCGATTTAGTTTCAAGTATAAGCTCAAGCTGATCAACTCTCTTTCCGTAAAGCTCGAACCGCTAAGCTCGAACAAGTTCGTTCAGATCGAACTTCATTTGGATGACTATCTACGGACTTCAGCTTGATGCTTCATTCAACTTTCACAAAGAGTTCGGAAAAAAGTTTAAAACCAGTCTTAAATATTATATACAAATTGCCTGTGCTTCGATTCAGTGTTCGAACTAGAGCTCAAACGAGTCAAGACTCAAACTTGTTCGACTCGAGCTCGAACGTGTTGCAGACAAAAAATTGAGTCGCTCAACTCGATCGCAAATTCGCTTTGATTTGAAATTTAAACTAAAGCTGATCGACTCTCAAACCATTAAGCTCGAAACGGTTGGGTCAGTTTAGCTCGAACATGATCGCGTTCGCTCGATCAGATCGAACTTCATTTGTGAGAATGTCTTCAAACTTCAGCTTGATGCTTCAATGAACTTTCACAAAGAGGAATGCAAATGAGTTATAAGCCAGTCTGAAATATTATGTGCGATGCGGATTAAGGTTTGGATTGTTCGTAGAAGCCGATTTGAACCAACTTGTAGCATTGTTTTTAAACTAAACCATAGTTTTATTTTTTTAATTTAATTTTTTCTTCTGCGTATAACTACAAAGATTTCCTTTAACTCCCTCCAATTCTTGTCCATTTGCAGCACCACCTCCACGTCGGGCATTGTCAATCCGGAATCCACATGCTTTACGCTCGACAATGGCGCCCTCAAGCCGCTGGCTACGGCGCTGAATATCAATGCCCTGACGGGCAATGCCACGCCCACGGCCACGCCCAATCCCATGGCCAGCAACAGCAACCAGCAGCAGCAGCAGTTGGGCCTGGCCGCACAGGAGCCAGAGCGTCCGAGCGGCATGGAGCCGGAGCCCAAGAGCAGTCCGCCGGAGCCGAAGCGCAAGGAAGCCGCCGGCATACGGTAAGTAGGAAGAGGATGAGCTCTGCTTGAATTCCACTTTTAATCCACAACTTCCTCATCCCCTCTCAGGGAAACCACGCCGCTGGATCTGTCGCTGCGTCGCTCGCCAATTGCCGCGCTGCTGCAGCGCCAGCGTCTGGTGCGCTCCGCCGCTGCCGCCGCGTTGCTGGACGCCGAGGAGGCGCTACTGGGCGCTGGCAAAGAGAATCTGGAGATCGGCGGCGGCGGCGGCAGTGTGACGCCGGAGCAAATTGTGTGCGCGCCCTCGCTGCCCAGCAGCCCCTCGATGAGTCCCTCGCCCAAGCGACGCGCCATCAGTCCGCGCAGCTCCGGAGCCGGCAGCGCCTCGTCCATGTCGCCGCCGGCGCTGGGCGTGGCCGTGCCACATCATCTGCTGGAGAATCTGCCGCCGTTGCGCTCGATGCTGCCGGCGGACTTTGCGCTAACCGAATCGCTGCTGGCCAAAACGAATCCCGAGCTGGCGCTCAAGCTGGCAGCGGCCGCCGCCGCAGCCGTCGCGGGCAGCAGCAGCAGCAGCGCCGAGCTGGCCACCAAGCTGGGCGTCGCGCCCGGCAACCAGCAGCCGCAGATCTATGTCAAGCAGGGCGTCTCCAAGTGCAAGGAGTGCAACATTGTCTTCTGCAAGTACGAGAACTATCTGGCCCACAAGCAGCACTATTGCTCCGCGCGCAACCAGGAGCCGGCCGGCGAGGCGGATCCGAAGAGCGCCGTTACGCCGCCCGCCGCGGCGGATCGCAGCGGAGCAGGCGCCGGACCGGGCGGCGCGGAGACGACGCCCGTGGCCTATCAGCAGCTCATCTGTGCCGCCTGCGGCATCAAGTATACCTCGCTGGATAATCTGCGCGCCCATCAGAACTATTACTGTCCCAAGGGCGGGGCCGCAGCTGCGGCAGCAGCGCCAGCTGAGGCGGCGACTGTGCCCCAGCTGAAGGAGAAGTGCGGCAAGTGCAAGACTCTCCATGAGCCGGGCCAGCCGTGTGCGGCACTGCCGCCGCTGCCTACAGCCACGCCCCAGCTGCCGCCCGCCGTCGTCTCGAACAGCGTGAACAAGTGTCCGGTTTGCGGCGTCATCAGTCCGACGGCGGCGCTGGCACGCAAGCATATGGAGATGCACGGCACGGTGAAGGCGTTCCGCTGCAGCATCTGCCAGTACAAGGGCAACACGCTGCGCGGCATGCGCACCCACATCCGCACGCATTTCGACAAGAAGACCAGCGACGTCAACGAGGAGCACTACATGACCTGCATCTTCGAGGAGGATGCAGCCGCACAGGCAGCCGCGGCAGCAGCCGCAGCCGCAGCAGCAGCAGCAGCACAGCCGCCGCCGGCAGCCTTGAGTCTGGATCTGCCAGCGCAGGTCGATCAGCACGAGCAGCATCCGGCGCAGCTCTTCAACTGCGATCACTGCAACTATGCCTCCACCTACAAAGGCAATGTGGTGAGTATTGTTGCATCATCCTGACCAGCTGTCAGTCTAACGCATTGCTTGCCCCGCACAGCTGCGCCACATGAAGCTGCTGCATCCGCACGTCGCCCTCAGTTCGCCCTCCATTTCGCCCGAGTCGCGCGAACTGGACGCCAATCCGCATGCCCTGCCCGAAGTAGCTCTGGTCAACGGTGAGCGCGAGCCCAGGTAAGCACATGTCAGGGAAAAAAGGGGCGATTCAATTGAAATGGGAATGCCCGACTTATAGATACCCTGCGACCAGCGCACAGCTGCTACTCTAAGTTTTCTAGCCGCCTTCTGTACTCCCCCTCCTTCTATCCAACTATGCTTCTTCTTCAGTTAGCCATCACTCTAATTAAAAATGATATTCTCGCGTAACTTCGGTGCTTATAGTCCGATCCTTATGAAAATTGCGAGGCTTTTATATGCATACTAAAGTGTCTGTATACCAAAGCCCAAGACTTAAGCTCTTAATTTATTTTCGGCTCGGATCAAAAATTTAATATAATTCTCTTCTTTTTTTTTTTTAAATAATCTGGAAATATGTATATTTCAATTTATCCTACATTCCAAGTTTGGCTTCTCTAGCTCTTATAATCTTCAAAAAACATAAATTCAATATCGATTTTAATCGATTTTTATCGATTTTATAAAGTTCCCGAGATCGCAGCACCTATTCATTCGGACAGACGGGCGGGGGCGGACAGACGAAAAAGGCTAGATCGAATCAACAATACTTTTTTACCCCTTCATAAAACATTTCACACAAGGTACAGGGTATATAATGCAAATTGTGAGCGCATATCTAATAGTTTGGGTTAATTTTGTAGACTATAAAAATTAAATTGAATCAATTTCTAAAAGCATAGGCAAATAAGGACATTAAATTTAATTGAACACTCCCCAACTCAATTTCTCCTGCTTAATCTCTTGCAGCTTCCACATCAAATCGGAGCCCTTGGAGCAGCCGGTGGCGACGCTGAGTCTGGTGCATGAGAACAACAACTCGCCGATTGGAACGCCGCATACGCACATCAAGGCCGAGCCGCTGGACCTGGGCATGGAACTGTCAACGCCCGCGCTGCCGCCGCCGATAACCAACTCCCCGCTCGGGCCCAGCGCAGCGGAGGCCATGAAGAAATACTGTTCCACCTGCGACATCTCGTTCAACTATGTGAAGACCTTTCTGGCGCACAAGCAATTCTACTGCAAGAGCAAGCTGCATCGGCCCGAGGCCAACGACAGTCCCAGTCCCACGGTGCTCGTTGGCGGCGGGGGAGTCGGTGGCGTTGGGGGCAACACCAACACCATGTTGCCACTGCAGTCGCCCAGCGAGCTGCTGCTGCTGCAGAAGAACAAGGAGAACCTGCAGGAGGCGGCCATTTGAGAGAGCCAGCTGATGTGGGAGGTGCAGCGCAAGCAGCTGGAATGGTACTACAAGTGCTTCTAGCCCGACCACACAAAACGCAACCAACAAACCGAACACCACCAGAGCCACCAGCACCTCCAGAGCCACCATCATCACCACCGACACGATATCGATAGTATTTCCGGAGAATCTCCAGCTGTGCCGCCTGCCAGGACACGCCGATAGATAGATCCACATAAATAATAGTCAGGCAATATAGATATACATACACGAAGACAACCACACCTAGATAGATCTAGACATAGACATAGACATAGATATACTATATATATATATGTATCTGTACCGTAGAAATCATGACATATAATGCATGCCAAAGCTTACCACTTAGAGAAGAAACCACAATCGAAGTGCAAGAAACTACAAGTTTTCGATATCTATAGCATATAGTATATCCTGGGGACTATGCTCTCCCTCTCTCTCCATCTCTCGCTCTCTCTCTCTCTGAGAACCTACCCAGAAACCAATTTGGGTTAAGCGGTAAATAATCCTAATAGATCCAATAATATGCATAATAATTATTGTAAATCGTGACGCGTCTAAAGCGCACAAAGTTATATAACAAATCAAACTGTGTAATTTAAACATTTATATATATATATATATATAAATATATATATTTACGTAAAAATATATATGTAATACGTATTTATTAAGAGTGTGCGACAATAAACGTAATTAATTTATTCAAAATAAACAATAAAAACATAACCCTATAACATAACTCTCCCATTTTCCCCATAACCAGGCCATGTCCTTCCAGATCCTGACGAGTCCCGCATCAACCCACTTCAAGGACCAAAGAACCCCAAAATTGTCCTGTTAGTTTCCGATATTTAAAGATTTTTGTGTTTTCAGAATGTTTCCCGAAATTTCACCAAGTCCTGGATTCCTAGATGACCCCATAATATTTTAATGCAGATCAATGCGGATGGTCCTTACGATCCTAACGCACCATGTCCTTTGAAAATCTGTAAGGATATGGCCGAGTTATGGCTATTTTTCTAAAAAGGACATGATCACACAATCGGCGATGACGCGGGAACTTAAAGGACTAACCGGATGTCCTTTGGTGAGCAGAATGTGCTTATCCTGTCGATTCAGAATATACAAAGAAAAGGACGAAAATCTTCCAAAGAGCCGAGATATAAGGACATTTCTTTTGTACATTAAGAAGACCATAGCTCAGCCGTATCCTTGTCAATCCTGACGAGTCCTGTCTTAAACAACGCGTATTGATCACAGCTACCAACTGCCCAAAGGACATAAAAATCGTCCTTTTACTTTCGACGATATGGCTATTTTACTAAAAAGGACATTCTTTTTATGGCCCTAACTCGGCCAAATTTTCAAAGACATCGGGAGGATATACCTTGTTGAACTCGTAGGGAGCAGGACTATCGACTGGCATTCAAAAATTTCCAGAATTCGACAAAAAATTTCACCAACATTTTTCATAGGGGGTTAGTCGCAAAAGTGGCAAAAATCGAAAAAATCAGGTCTAAAATTGCCATTTGAAGGACTCTCGGGATGTCCTTTGGACAGCAGATAGTGCTCGTCCTCCCATTTAAGAGTATACCACAAAAAGGACGAAATTCCTTCAAATGGTGAAGTTTTAAGGACAAATTTTGCAAGAGAAAATAGGCCATAACTCGGCCATATCCTGGCGTATCCTGACAAGTCCTGCGGCAAATAAACTGTATTGACCAGAGCTATCAACTGGCCAAAATTCATTAAGATCATCCTGGTAGTTTTGGAGATATTTAAGGATTTGTGTTTTCAGGCCATTTCCGTGCGCTTCGGGACCGAAATTTTACAAGTCGAAATTCGAGTCATATGATTCTTAGATGACCCCATATTTTTATGATGCAGATCGATGCAGGGGGTCTATACGAACGTAACGCACCATGTCCTTTGAAAATCTACAAGGACATGCCCGAGTTATGGCCCATTTTCCTAACAAAAAATGCTTTTATATAATTTTGTACTTGTTTTATTTAAATGTGTTTTTATCTTTTCAGACTGACAACTTAAGGACTATAATAAGCTCTAAGGACCTTCAATAATAAAACAGCAAATTTTTCCAGGATCGGACTTTAATTAAGCTACATATAGCTATTTTAAGTTTAAGTAGGCCAATAATTAAGAAAATAACATAAAAAACAACAACTTTATAAATTAAAATATAAATAAATCAATTATTTTATTAAATAAACAAACTCCTGTTTTTTTACTTCCGTGGACGATGTGGTTAAAATCAAAATTCAAAAATCAACGTCAGTAACCACTGCCTGCCGAGATTTTTCTTAAAATCTGCCGAAATACCAGGCGAACATAAATGCCCAGAAGGTCGACAAAAAATATTTTTAGCCGCCGAAAAATTTCATTGCATACCCGAAAGGGGCGCCCTCGACTAAAAAAGAGGTGAACACAAAATCGGCGATAACGTGGCCATTTAGAGGACTATCTGGATGTCCTTTAGCGAGCAGACTGCGCTTATCCTGCCAATTCAGAATATACAAAGTAAAGGACGAAAGTCCTCCAAACAGCCGAGATATAGGGACATTATTTTTTAATATTAGAAAGGCCATAGCTTAGCCGTATCCTTGCTGATCCTGACAAGTCCTTGGTCAAACAACTCGTATTGACCAGGGCTTCCAACTGTCCAAAGGACTTCAAAATCGTCCTTGTACTTTAGACGATATGGCTAATTTACTAAAAAGGACATTTTTCAATTAGCCATAACTCGGTCAAAACCTTAAGGATATCGGAAGGATATACCTTGTTGAACTCGTGGGGAGCAGGACTATCGATTGGCATTCAAGGATTTCCAAAATTCGACAAAAAATTTCATCCAAATTTTTCATAGGGGGTTAGTCGTCAGTCGAAAAAATCGAAAAAATCGGGTCTAAATTGGACATTTGAAGGACTATCGGGATGTCCTTTGCACAGCAGATACTACTCTCCGTCCCATTTAAGAATATACAAAAAAAAGGACGAAAGTCCTTCAAACGGCGAAGTTTTAAGGACAATTTTTGCAAGAGAAAATAGGCTATAACACTGCCATATCCTGTCGTATCCTGACGAGTCCTGTGTCAAATAAATTGTAATGACCAGACCCACCAACTGGCCAAAGGACATCAAGATCGTCCTTGTACTTTCCGAAATATTAAGGATTTTCTATTTTCACCTCATTTCCAAGCAATTTTCGGCTGAATTTTCACCAAGTGCTGGATTCTTAGATAACCCCATAATATTTTGATGCAGATCGATGTGGGGGGTCCTTACGATCCTAACGCACCATGTCCTTTGAAAATCTGCAAGGATATGGCCGAGTTATAGCCATTTTTCAATCACAAAGTTGGCCGAAAATTACATTTTTCGTTGCCTACTTTTAGGGCGGGAAATAATACATTTAATTGGCACACAAATTTTACTTAATTTACTTTAAATAACAAAACCTGCAGTTCCAATCGTCGATAAAAACGCGTGCTTAAACATTTTTCGTTTTGAATGCAATCAAAAGAGAATCTCAACGAGAGTCGAAAGCCATGGCAAAATGCCACGTAAGCAGGCGATGACGTCATCAGCTGTGTATTGGGCAAGTGAAGAGAAAAAATATATATATATATATAAATTAGCTTAAGCATACTTACAATATTACATACATACATATATCATATAAATTTATTGAAACACAAATAATGCGAAAATTACAGTGCTGTGAAATAAGGAATTCTACATGATGTAATTGTTAAGTGTAAGTAATTTATATGTATATATATCATTTATAATTGGTGCAAACCGAATTCTTCATATTGTTTCTTTTGTTTTGTTTTGTTTTTTTTTTATCATTTTAAATCAACTTAATAATTATTAAAATGTTTTTGTTATTAGAAGAGGCATTCCCGAAAATGCCTCGTTCCTAAATGTTTGTGTGTGTTCGTGTGTGTGTGTGTGTGTGTTGGATGATCACTTGACTGCCTGTCCATTGAAAAGATTGATTTGAATGTAAGCGTGTGTGTGTTTGTGTGTCGTGTGTGTGTGTGTGTGTGTGTCTGTGTGCTTTCATGGAGAGTAGCGGTATTTGTTGCTGCCTGCTAATTGATAATCTATTCGGTGGCAGCCATGGCGCGGGCCTGGGCACGGACACGCTTCTCGTACTCCAACCGGTTCTGACAGTAGATGGTGTATGCCTCCGCTTGGGCAGGATCCTTGATATTGGGCTCGTTAAGCAAATCCTGTATGCCCAACAGAATCTGTTTGATGGTAATGGCTGGACGCCAATCCTTTTCCTCGTCAAGCAGCGACAGGCAGACGGTGCCCGACGGATAGACATTGGGATGGAATAGCGGCGGTTCGAATTTGCATTTCGGTGGCGAGGTTGGATAATCATCCTTGAAGATCATACGCAGCTTGTAGAGGCCACCCTCCCAGGGTGTCGATTTCTTGCCGGGAATGGCGCATTCCCAGATCATGAGGTTCAGTGTGCCATCGGGATTTTTGGCAGGTCGTGCCACAAATCCAAACGGATGATCTTTTCGCCATGCCTTACGCTCTTCGCCCAAACGTGTAATAGCAATGCCAGACATATTGTGTTTTGCACCTTTTGCTGCTTGCTTTTGCGAAAACTATTGTCGTTTCTCCGTTTTGTCTATCTGCTTCTACCTACGCTGTACACGCTGCTTGCGTCTGAACGGAAAAAAAATATGTCCGCTATTAAGGCTAAAATAATGCAAACCCATGCATTTAAATTCGCGTACATACCTTGGTGTTGCGTTTGCTGCCTTGGACAGCTAAAATAACTTTCAATTTTGTAGTTTTTCTACCAAACTTGAATCTTTTTTACACAAAATTAGCGCAATTTGACGGCTTCGGCTTGCATTAGGGATGGTAGAAAATATCGATATATCGATACGCACCACTTTCGGAAATAGTGTGACCAAATGAAGTATCCATAAATATACCATTAAATACTAAAGAACCCTGCTAACAGAGAAATTTATTTTCATTAAATTATACATATCGTTATTTAAAGAATAAATAATTGCGATTTGTTAGCAATTTAATAAAGGAGACATCATGCAACTTTCGCCTCGATATGAAATGTATGCCTAATCTAGTTAATTGAGCTCGGTCACACTGCGTGCTAATTAATTATCGATATTGGCGCAACGTATATTTCCTCTAGATGCCTCATCGACTAAGTACTTGGAATATTTCAATTTATTGTTATTGTTCTTAGATGTAATTTTGTTACAGTTTGTTTAAATAGAATTATGGACTTTAGATATTCGTATAAAAAAGGTGGATTTGCAAAGAATGATCTCTTATTAATAAAACCTAATCGAACAGAAAGGTGCTTGTGCCTTGTCGAGGAACATGCCTAACTTTCTAATAGTCAAAATCGTCTTTTATAGATTGGTAGCAGTAAATTGCATTAAGCATAAATGGAAGATAATTTAAGAAAGAAAATAAAACGCAAAATAAAAATTAAAAAATGTAGTGCTTATTACTTGTTACTAGCCAAAAATAGAAGACTTGTACGCGGGCTGCTGCTTGGGTGGAAACGGCACTTGGAATTCATTAAATGAATTATTTGGCCTTCTTGGACTCCTTTTTCTTGCTGCTGCTGCTGCTGCTGTTGCCACTCTCATCCTTCTCCTTTTTCTCCTTCTTCTCAGGCTTCTCTTCGGGATGATCCTCATAGCTGTGGGCAAACAAATAAGCCATGTTAGTTTCTTGAATTATGGAGGAAGGGAGGGCAGGACTCACGCAAAGAGCACCTTCAGCTCGCCTCGGATTAGGGCCACCAGCAGAGGCGTGCCCATGCAGGCGGGCACCAGATAGAGCAGCGCCGGCTGTGCATGCTTGAAGACGTGCATCACGAAAATCGTTGCCATTAGACCCATGAAATAGGCAGCTAACGTGGAGTAGAAATAGATGCGCGTCTTGCGCTTTTTGCTGTCATCGAATCGCAGCAGCAGGGCAATAAAGATGCCGGGAATAACAATATCGCCCAGGCCGAGCATGGCAAAGTTCGAGGCGTTGAGGCCATTGTCGAGAATGTCCTGGGGAAAGACTAGCTTGATGGGCGCCTCAAAGCTCTTGGCCACAGTGACCATGACATTGGTGCCGAACACCCAGAAGATGTCATAGAAGAACAGTCCACTCAGCAATATGACACCGGTGACAAAGTTATTCAAATGCAGCATCTCGACTCCGTTGATGGCAAACGCCAGGCCAAACATGTTGTTGGCGATCCAGTGCTTCTTCAGCAGATACCAGACGCCGATGATCGACGAGATGATCAGGCAGACAATGTCATGCGTGGAGAATTTGTAGTTAATGATGTCCTCCTTGTGTTTACCCTCACCCTTGGTGAAGTGTATATGGAATGGTACTTTTGGCACGGCGGCCGGCATCAACGAATTGATCACCGGACTGAGAAGATGGGCCAGCGCAATGACGCCCAGCACAAAGAAATAGCCGGTTAGCAACAAGTTGATGTGCACCTTCTGAAAGATCTGGAAGAACATGTACAGGCCGAACAGCGCCACAGACGCGATCAGCGGAAAGTACATGGCATCCTTTTTGGTCATTGTGTCTGCCTTCTCGCCCGTCGACTGTGGAGAAAGTAATATGTGAAAGCGAACGGGGGACACAACAAAAGGGACTCACCTTTTTCAGTTTATGCAACTTAACCGAGCGTATAGAGCCGAAAATGATGGGCAACATGGCCATTATAACCAGGCTGCCGTATGCCACGGCAATGCCTTCCGGCGTCGATGGCTTTCTTTCGTTTGTAATGGATTCATTTTTTGCATTCGCATTTCCATTCACATTCTCCAATATGCCCTTGATTGCGTTCTTAACGCTGCCGATGACTTCCTCCGCCATGTCTGTTGTTATGCGTTGCCTGTCTCACTTAAACTCTCTATTTTAGTTGCCGTTGACGATTTCTAACGAAAATCGTTTGGCTCGCGGTTTTAGGGGTAACAATTGTGACACGCAGCCACACAACAACAACAGCAAGTGCAAACGACGCACACGTCAACGCTAGAGACGGTCGATAACATAGTAATTTATCGATTCAGATACTTAATACTTTTTGTTAATATTAAGCTAAATTTATATATTTATATTCCTTATCTTATAATATAGTGCCTACGCAAATAGATATGCATTATGGTTTAACTAACACGCGCAAAATGGTCATGGGCAAATTATTTTTTTTAAATGTTAACTAGTGCTGTTAAACTCAAAATGGCACTGTGCAACTTCTTATCACACTGTTAACACTAAGATAATCCGTTGCGATTTAAATTTCTCTGATTGGAATGAGTATGATTTGTACTGCATGAATCCAATTGAATTGCTAGTGGGCAAGTATTTTGTGTGGGCGTCTGCACCATCCACTGTACGTACTCTAGCTACATACAGTTGACTGCATAAGTAAGCGCTTGTGTTATCTTTTATATTCCCGTTCGCCACAACTGTCGACGCCAGCGACGAGGCTTGCTTTTTATCACTGGCTGCAGCCATGTGCGAAACCCTCTGCTGGCTCTTGAGTCGATGCTCAGTCGTTATCCAGAGACCGATGAGCGCACATTAAATTAGAATAACTGAAATTCTTAAACCAAAAACAAAAAAAAAACACACACTGTGAACTTGAGAAATAACAATGTCGAACAAGATAAAGACATTGATTTCCGGTCGTGGGCTGCTGCCGTTGTTGCTGGTATTCCTGCTCGTTTCCGTGCCAAGCGCCAGTTGTAAGTCCAATAAGTATACATAGTAAGGCTGCAAAGGGGCTAATATCCAATTAACTTATGAATCTACATTTTAATAATTAATGAGGGGTTTGAGCCAGGTTTACGAACCGAACCTCAAGGCAGGGAGGTGGGTTTAAACTGTAAACCGAACTTTCAACTATTTCTTTAAATTTAATCACATGCTCATTTGGAACAGCCCAACAAGATGACGCAGAGGAAAGTGGCTCGAAGGCAGCCAATATTAGTGCACTCGATCGACTGCAGATGAATCTGTTCATCAACTACGACGTGAACGCCGAGCCCACTGTGCAGGGCAAGCCGACAAACATAAGTCTGGGTCTCTCGGTGAACTATATAGATATCGATGAGCTGAACGGCAAGATCACGCTCCACTGCTGGCTGAGCGTCGTGAGTAAAGAGTGGAAAACAAAGAAGCATGTTTATTCAGTTGGGTTTAATTGCAGCGCTGGATGGATGATGAGCGCTCCTGGAATATACAGCAATACGACAACATTACCAAGCTGCATATACCGGACCATAAGGTGTGGAAGCCGCAGATAACGCTCTTCAATGCCGCCGCCGATGAGGTCAACTATCTGGTTAGCACCCAGGTGATTCTGTCCAACGATGGCAGCTTTCTCTGGGTACCGCCGGCTGTCTATACGGCCTATTGCAATCTGAATATGGTCAATTGGCCGTACGATGAGCAGACGTGCAAGCTGAAGATTGGCACCTGGTCGCTGAGCCACCTTCAGGCGGCATATAATGCGCATAATAAGAAGGCGCTCGACTATGAGGAGCTGGTGCAGTCTACGGAGTGGGAAATCGTCAGCGGCTGGACACAATTTGTGCATCAGGACTATTATAGCTATGTGGAGTTCATATTTACGGCACAGCGACGCTCCTCCATGTACACGGCCGTCATCTATACGCCTGCCTCGTGCATAGTGCTTCTGGCGCTGGCCACCTTCTGGCTGCCACCACAGATGGGCGAGAAGATAATGCTCAATGGCATACTTATCCTATTGATTGCCGGATTTCTCATGTACTTTGCCCAGCTGCTGCCAGTGCTGGCCGGGAATACGCCGCTCGTGGGTAAGTTTGGTGTATGCCAAAAATTAAAGAATAGAGCTCTGCGGCGGTCAATTATTTTGCTTCAAAATCGGCTATTCCATCGATTAGAGTATCGAATGTTCGAATGAGTCCGGCTCGAGCTCAACCTGCTCGAGTCAGCAACAACATGTTCGAGCTAACCGGTTCGATTAGCTCGCACACAACCGATGTAGTCGACTTTGCGGCGAGTTCAAGCCTATTTCTTCAATTTAACTGCATTTTCAGTCGACCCCCTTTCCGTGTGCAACTTGAGACGAAAATATATGACTATTTGAAGCGCGTGTTGGGTGACTTGAGGCAGGGCTCTATTATCTAAACATATTGTAAATCCACTTACTCTGTTTTTATAGTCGTCTTCTACAGCGCCAGCCTCCTGCTGCTTAGCATATCCACTGTTATTGAGGTCGTGGTGCTCTACCTTGCCACGGCCCAGCACAAGCGTCGCGTGCCGGACTTAGTGAAGCGCCTCCTCCACGGCAAACTGGGCACCTGTCTGCTGCTCTCACAATTCATTAACGTGGCTGAGTTGCCGGCCTCGCAGCAGGGCAATGGCGTTGCGAAGGAACTGGATGAGCATTTGTATGACAATGCCGATGATTTGATGACCAGCCCGTTGGACATCAATCCCAGCGAAACGCCGTCGGCGCGCGCCCTTCAGTTCGACTGGGTGCTGCTGGCCACTGCCGTGGATCGACTATGTTTCATTGGCTTCAGCCTGGTCTATATAGTGCTGGCTATTGTTTATGCCATCTAATATTATGTGTACTCCATAGAATATTATTAAACACATACCGTTTTGTTCTTAACATTTGTATGCACCTTCTCGAATCAAGCTTAATTACGTCAAAATTAATGCCAAAATAGAACGTGCCATAAAACATAAATATATAAAATAAAAAACTATATATATAAAATAAACAATTAATAAATAAGATTTAAAGTAATGCTTACTTATAGTAAGTGTAACGTCCTCTCAACACAGATATTTGGAATAAAACGAAGAACGCTCAATATAATAACTGTTTCTCAGCAGGGTTGCACAACGAAGCAGAGTTGTAGTTTTTCATTAACCATGAACCGAACCTCAAATCGGATTCGTTGAGTGAATCAGAGTCAAAGTTAAGTCTTTACAACAATATTTGTGATTATTTGTAAATACCATTGCAAATTTAGTTAGTTTTTTAAGTCAAAATATGTAATTATATAACACTTAATTGTTTAATTGAATAATCTAAAGAAGGTGGCGAGCCAAGACTTGAACCTGAATTTGGGAATCCAGGTTCACGAACCATAACTTTGTGCGAGGCATTGCCACGACCTGTGAACCGAACCAGCAAAATGTTTTGCTTACGCTTGCAGCCCTGGTTCGCAGTTAAGGAAATGTGAGAAATAAGCGTTGCTTTTTTTTTCTCGGAGTGTATTTTAATTTCTATATGTGTATTTTTTGTTGTTTTGTTTTCTTCATGTCCAATTTGAATGTGAACTTAGAATTAAGTACGTTTTAATATTATGTTGCCAGCTCTATTTACATAGACGCAGGCATTAAAAGTAAGTTATGTAGGCTTAAAAGCAAAATTTAACAGACGTTGTAACAAATTAGACCCCCCTCGGGTAAGTTCCCGGATACCTTCCACTTGTATTGCTTCTTCTTGTTTTTGTTTTTGTTTATTGGCGATGCTACCCGCTGCATTGCTCCATGTTTATCACATACGAGAAATTACGCAATTAAACCAAAAGTAGCTGGCATTAGGCGAAATGACCTTTTTACAGCTTGACCCGAGTGCCCGGAGCGGGTTGGTTGCGGCCAGAGCGAGACGGAGACACGGCGAGTGTGCGCAGCGGGCGGCCCTTGCGCAAGCCCAGCCCCCCGCCTCCCCATAAGCAACCCCCTGGACAAATTGGGGTTGCCATTTCAATTAAATGCACTGCTGGGCGGGGTGCGCTGCTCATAGGTCACCGCGGCGGCTGTGCCGGACGTGCTGGAGGTCCTTGGATCAGACGACTGGCTAGAACCCGCGACGGCTGAGACGCTTCCATAGGCGCCGGGTCCGGCAAATGCCGACGACACCTGACCGGGCGACGGCAACGAGGAGGCTGTCGACGGTGAGGGAAAACCCAGACTGGAGCAGGTCGATGCCGGCGATGTCAGGTCTGATGCTGCTCCTGTTGCCGCTGCTGTGGCGGCGGCGGCGGCGGCATGTGGATGCAACAGCTGGGCGTGCGCATGATGCGGATGCACATGCGGATGATGGCCATGATGGGAATGATGCGCCAAATGATGCGGCAAATGTTGCGTGGATAGCGCATGTGGGCCACCGCCAGCGGCGGAATGATGATGATGATGATGATGATGCTTGTAGGAACTAATCATGCTGCTGGCCGGATCACAGCCCTGCGCCTGTGCCTGGCAAGCGGCCATCAGGCCGTGAAAATCAAATTTGTACGCATAACGCTTGCCGTGCACCTTGGTCATGATATTCTTGTCGTAGTAGTAGCTAAAAATAAACATAAAATATAAATAAAAACAATGAAAGATGAATTTAAACAAAGAAAGCAAGTAAAACTGCGCTACTCGGGAGTGCACGACTAGAAGATACCCTGTTTCCCAGCTCCAAGCTGCCTTAACGTTCTAGCCTCCTTCTATAACCTTTTCCTCTTACCTTCCCTACCCTACACTTAGTTAAATGCATCCTGGAATAACTCAGCTGTTTCAAGTCCAATCTTTATGAAATTTTCAGGAGTTGAAAACGAAAACATTATTTGTGTGTATACCAAAGCACAAGACTCTAGACCCTAGTTTTAAAAACAAGATCTGTTCAATTATCTGAATAAAGATCAAAAAAGCTACGAGCCTATGAATAGATTATTAAAGCTTTTATACAATCCTCCAACTGAAATGCATTTCGATTTTTCTGCCAAAAGTGTTTTGATTAAACATAATCTCAAAGAATTCTTTCTTTAAAAGTAATTAATAAACATTTTCCGTAAGTTTAATTTTTTCTATTTAGTTATGGTTATTATAAGATAATATTACTTAATTTAAGATAACTTGAAAACTAAAAGCATTGGTTAATAAATAAATAAATAAATACATAAAAATACAAATGTGAAGTATTCTTCCAATGAATTTAATATACGAGTATCTATAAACCAAAGTTTGTTTCCCTAGCTCTGATAATCTCTGACTTATGCTGAAAAGACTCAAAATCGATATTAATCGATTTTATAAAAATAGGAGGAGATATAGAAAACACAATGATAAGCTCGTGCTGCGTAAGATATACGAGAATACCTAGCTCAAGTTTCAACTCTCTAGCTCTTTAAGTTGCCGAGATCGAAGCGTTCAAACAGGGGAACAGACGGTCGGATGGATAGACGGACTTGGCTGGATCTTCCTCAATAAAATCTTTAGTCTCCGGGGTCGTATATGCCTCCTTCTGCGTGTCACATGCATTTGCACAAAAACCTTCAACCTACTCCCATTGATTTCAGCATATAACTAACTAGCTTGTCTGGCTGGGCTGGGGATGAGTCAGAGCGCCGGAATTGCTGCTCCAGTTGTGTCTGGGCCCATTTGCTACTCACCGTAGAGCTCTGCTCAGCTTGTCGTAGTTCATATTTGGCTTGGCCTTGCGTTCGCCCCAACGCTTGGCCACCTCGTCCGGATCGATGAGCCGGAATTCGCCCGATTGGCCCTCCCAGCTGATGCAGTTGGCGTTCGACGAATCAGCGAGCAGCTCCAACAGAAATTGCCACAGCTGTATCTGGCCGCCCGAGCCCTGGGCGACCAATCGGTGCGAGGCAGCATTCAGCAGCTGATACGGATCTAAAAGAAGCAACAGAGACAAACAGTCAAATCAACTAACAGATACACACACACAAACACACACACACACACATCCACTTGAGAGCGCGCGAGTAGATGGAGAGAGCGGCACATGAACTCGTATTAAAACGAGATTTTCTGGTCAATGGCTGCTACGCCCGAGAGAGGTGGAGGGAGGGGGGTAGCGGAGGGCGTTGGCAACGTGGCACGCAAACCAAATGAAAGTCGATAAGCCGCCGACCAGATTCCACGGAAAGTCAACCACAACAAGCGCACATAAATCCTCGGAGCGGAGCATATGGCAAAAAAAAAACTTGGGATATTCCCGCAATAAAAAGACGCGCCTAGAACAAGGTCTCCAGCAGGTGTCCAAGTGCTGTCGACTTCAAGGCTGCACTAGGCAACAGCGCAGAGTGCTTCAGAGTGGAAGAGCTGACCGACTAGGAGATACCTTGCATAAAGCGGCAGACACCAAACAAGACCTACATTTACAAAAAAACTTATTTACCAAAAAAAAAACCAATAACAGCTCTGCTTCTTTCCTTCCCTTAGCCTCAAGCTGTGGTTTCTTCTGTTCCTAAATAACTTCTTTGTTTATTCTTTTAAATTTAAAAAACTTAAAGGGTTTAAAGTTAACACTCAAAAGTGTCTACATACCAAAATTCAGAACAACATCTCTTTATTTGCGATTGGAAGCGGGAATGGGGCAAGGTACCCACAAAGTGAATGGTTTTAGATGTGTTTATGCGAGAATCTAAATGAAAATTTTGAGATCTCAAATAGTCTTTAATATAGGCACAATTGACCTTGGCTGAGTACCGATATTTATCGATTTGTAGCAAAAGTTCGGAGGGAAAAGTTATCAGCTTGTTTTGCACATGATATACCAGCGACAACAATATATCTTATAAATAATTGAAATTTGAAATACAGCTTCTGGTATAATAAGTATTAGCAGAACAAAGGCTGGATCGTCTCGACTGTTCTTGCTTATCAAGAGTATCGATATTTATCGATTTTGATCAAGAGTTCGAGAGGGAAACTTATGAAAAAAAAAGATATCCGTTTTTTCTGCAAATGATATACATGCAATTTGAATTATAGTTTCTGGTATATTATATACAGAACAAGGCTGGTACGTTTCGATTGTTCTTGCTTATCAAGAGTATCGATATTTATCGATTTTGAGCAAAAGTGCAAAGTTATAAAAAAAAAAATAGATCAACTTGTTCTGCACTAGTTATACCAGGGACTGCAATAGCTCTAATGGAGCTGGATAGTTGAAATTTTAATTTAAGTATAAGTATATATTATATACAAAACAAGGCTGGATTGTTGCGACTGTTCTAGCTGATCAAGATTATATATACTTTGTACAATTGCCCAACTGCATTATGCACATGGATAGACCATATTTAATGGCTACAGAGTATTTTTAAAAAATTCCCCCTACAAAAATGTTGTCGGCTGCAGTCACGAAAACAACATAATCCCAGGTGAGTCATTGGTCAAGAGAGGCGAAGACAGTGCGAGAGAGAGAGAGAGAGAGAGAGACAGAGTGAGGAAGAGAGAGAGGGGCTGTGCTAGATAGATAGACAGAGTCAGCGTAAGATCGTTAGAGTTAGGAATTTGCTGGCACTTCTTCTATAGAGCGCAGACAATATTCTATTCCTATGCCGGAAATGCCGAATGCTTTACCATTGAAGATCATGGAGGTGTGCGTGTGTGCGGCATGGCCAGCAGCGGCGTGTCCGGGATGATGATGGTGCTGATGGTGATAGTGATGCACGGCCGTGTGATGGGGATTGAGCGGATGATGTGTTGCCGTCGGCGCGGTCTGCATGCGCAGGCCAAAGCGCCGGTTCAAATCCTCCGAGAGGCGCCACATGACGCCGACATCAACGCTTACGCTCATGGCGCGACGCGATCGAGCGTAATCTTATACCACGCACAGAAGCTGCTACCTCAAAGCGACATATTCCGCGAATAGCCGAGTGTTTAATATAAATATTTGTTGTTGTTTTGGGATTTTATTTTATGGCAAAGTTGGCCTTGTTTCGATTATTTGTATATGGTAGAAAAATTAAAAATTTATGTGCTTTGCCTTCAACCGGGTCACTTAGTGTTAATTGTTTAATTCGTCTTAAAAATTAAAGAACATTTATTTATATTTATGTTTGATTTGTTTTTTTTTTTTTGGGTGCCACGGCGTAAAATGCGAACTGTTTCGGGCTAACTCCATGTGGCAACTGATGCCAAACAAAGCGGCGCCCACTGAACTATGCGCCTTATCAACAGCTCTACATATAGATAGCGTATATATTTGTGTATATATATGTGTATGTGTGTGTGCGTGGCCGAGGCGCAGCTCACCTGCGCAGCTGGTGGTAAGCGCTGTCGCCTCGGCGAACCGGGCCAAAAGTCACAGATTCCCAGCTTTACAATGGGCCACGTGCAGCCACTCAACCCTCGGCGAGGGCGAGTCATGGGCGTGGGCGTGGTTGGAGGGGGCCAGCTGTAAGCTCTGCCACGACAACATGTAATCCTCTTTGGCATAAAAAACAAATCAATTAAATTGGCGGCAGTCGCTCCTTAACATATACATATATGCCAGGCGACGCGGCCAAATCTCAGGAAGGATGCAACGAATTGAATATTTTCCTGTGCGCCCAACACAGCGCCACAGCACGCCCCGCCCGCCCCGCCCCCTCCTGCTCCTGCTCCAGGCTGACCACCCGTGGAGCTGTTGTCAGTTTTTGGACTCCGCTCTCTGCCGGCTTTTGTGACTTTTGTGACTTTGCGACTTTTGGCGCTTGCTGGGGATTATTTTGATTTTATTATTAGATGCCACATCCTGTGAGAAATTATCATATTTACATCGTTTATTATTAAGTTCATCACTTGAAACACCAACCCCCACCCACACACACACACACACAAGCACACACACACTCATCCCCCCCCTTCTACACGACCACAAACTTAATAACTGTCGAGCTGGCAAAAAAAAAGTGTTGCATACTTTGCGGTTGTCGCGAAGGCGTTTTGCAAGCGATTTACGTTTATGGGGCGAAAATGTTGTAAAAGCCACTTAAGGATGCCGCGAGAACAGGTAATAGTGTATATATATATATTATGCAGGCAATACAGTGGTCACTCGCTAATTAGAACGCTTCGTTTGAAGAGTTCATTTAAATTTGGGCAAAACTCCAATTTATAGGAGATTTTATTGCTTAAACAATTTGTTACTATTATTATTATTATTATTAAAATCGTTGTTATTATAATCATTATTATTATTATTAATTTTATTAAAATTATTATTTCTTTTATTATTTATATTATTTATATTATTTGTATTATTATATTATAAGTTTAGGCGTATCTGCCAACCTCTGCAAAGGATCCTCCTTTGGGGTTGTAATATGTTGTTAAAACATTTCTTTAGTAAATTTAATTTTAAGAAATATCCTTGTCCTGCCTGTTAAATATACGATTTAAATTATATATAGTATATGACATAGTAACAAGCTATTAACCTTAAGCTAAGACAACACTAGCTTGTGATTCCATAAACTACCCTGATATTCTAAACCGAATCCTTATTATTGCACATTAAAAAAAAAAACTAAAAAATTACCCCAATCTAAGAAAATCAGTTCTGCTTGAAAATCGCCAACTTTTTTAGAAAACATTTCTTATTTTCAGAACTATTTTTCTAAATTTAAGAGCAAGTTACTCTAATGAGTTAGACTTGGGAAATATCATTTCTGAAATATGGTAAAATATAAAATATAAGTCTAAAAATAATCAAAATAAAAAAATGTATATGATCCATATATTATCATTTAATTAATTCCCATATGCCAATAACTGCAGTTTTTTTCATTTCTTTTAATATTGAGGCAAGAATAAAATCTTTCAAGGTAAAAATTTAATGTTCTGCTAATCAATGAAGGGCTTGTTCATATGAAAGGTTCATGATATAACATCATAGACAGACAAACGTACAGAGCTATATCGATATCGTTGTCCTGATGAGGGATATATATATATATATATATATTCTTTCTACTAATAAAGGAAATTATAAAACCTTTGCAAAACTAAACAAATAAAGAAATTTGGATATGTGTTTAAATGCATTAGAAATAAGGATATTTTTTGGATAGAAATCGATAAGTTCTAATTAACGAGGGACCACTGTAGTGTCCGGCTATAATTAAATAGTATATAGAAATAGTCGAAGCTGGATTTGGCTTGGTCTGCACACGGGCTGCCCCACATGTCCATGCCCCACGCTCAGTGCCCATTCCCACCCGCCATTAATTTCACGCCTTTATCAATAGCAGGGAATTTCTTTGGGTGAGGCTGGGAGGTGGGGGAGATTGGGTGTGGAAAACAATCAATGCAGGACATAAGTTACGTTTCTATCGGCGCCTTCACATCTTAATCAGTTGGCATTAAGTCGAAAGGATTCAATTGATGCCCGAACGAGACCACAAAGAAGGACACACACTCGACCTGGAGGATAGCTTGGCCGTTGATTGCTTGACCTTAAACGTGCCGCTGGGAATACGACGTGCTGCCAATTACAAGCAGCTCTCAATCTGGACGCACACATCAGATTTATGTGGCCATATATTAGGGCCTTTTACTTACTTGGCTCGTTCTCGTTGAGCATGGGACTCGTCTCCCTGCCGGTGGCATGGTACAGGCTGAAGGCGAAGTGCTTGGCCAGGAGTATGCCGCCGCGCCGGGAGCCGGCACAGACCCAGAAATCGGCGCGACTCAGCTGGCAAAGCTCGTTGCCATCTTTGGGAAAGCGGGTGATATCCGGCTCCGGTTCGATTTTGAATTTGCGCGTCAGCCACTTCACCCAGCTGGCAATGTCCTCTGTGGTCCAGGCATGCGGATCCACCGGCACCACCACCGGCGTGCCTGGCTCGCTGTCCGTATCGGAGTCCTGTGTTGGAATAGGTGACGGCGGGGAGTTGCTGGCAGCCAGCGGCAGGGGTAATTGCAGGGGCGCGGGCAGGCGGGAGCTGCGGCCGCTGGAGCTGCTGCTGTCACTGCTGGAGCTGCTGGAATCCGAGTTCGAGTCCGAGTCGGAGGATGTGCTTGTACTTGTGCTGCTGCTGCAGCGACGTCGACGTCGTCGCGGACGAGCAGCTGCCTCCTCCGCCGCCGGCGAAGCATCCAGCGCTGTCGCAGCTGCAGTTGTTGTCGTTGTTGCTTTGGGGGGGGATGCACCGACACCTTTGGGTCGGGCATCTTGGTGCATGGCATTAAAGCTCGACACCTGCACCGGCCACCTGTCTATGGCTGGGCTTGGCTTAACACTTTGGTAACAACTGCTCAAAATGGCCATAGGGAACTGACGACACACTCAAGCACTTGAACACTGCCACGATCTCAGCTGCAGTTTTATGTATTTATTACAATTTTCTTTGAGCCGATCATGATGCTGGAAAAACACACGCGCCAAAGTCCGCTTGCAAAACGGATTTAGGATTCAAAAAACCGACGACGCGGTGATTCACACTATATTATATTTTTTATTTATTTATTTTTTTTCAAACACGCGCGCCTAAGTCGTGGTGCTTAGGAAATTTTTTAATTGAAATAAAAGTCCAGTTTGCACAGTGAAAAACGCTGTGGAAAATTCTATCGCAATAACCGTTACGTTACGTTTTAATCGCTGAACGGAACAAGCATCCGCACAGGTTCGCGTATGACAAGTTAATGATCGGCAAAATTGAACCACGATAAAGTCGTGACGAAATCAACGCGTCAAAAAAGCTCACGCTCACGCTCGCGCGTCGCCGCTCTCAGCTGCTGCTCTCCGAAAGAAACAGAAAAGAAAAGAAAAACAAGCGCCTGCCCGATGCTCAATTAGCTGCCTGCCGCGCATGGCCAACCGGTTTTTGCATGCCATTCGCTAGGGGGATCGCGAATAAAAGTATACAAAAGCTCTCCGTTATCTCGCTCGCTGGCATATGACGTCGTTAGTTGTGGACGTCGGCCGGATGAGTCACTCGCAGCGCAAGCAAAGCGGGGACAAACAAACAAATTTGGAGAACGTGTCATGGAGTTCCCCAGGCACAGGTTTCTCAACTACAGCTTGAGCAAGGCTGCGGCCGGGCGAGGGGAGAGCAGGTAAGGTCGTTTCGTTGTCTGTTAAATAAATTCATTCATTCATTCATTTCGCTCGCTCGCTCGCTCGTTCGCTGCTCTCACTTTGGCTCGTCATTATTCCTGGAAGAGCTGCATGACTCTTGCGACTAATACTATGATTTGGCGGCGTTCGAAATTGTTTTTTTTTTTTTCGCTTTTTGGACCATGTTGGTGTCGCCTTTGCGGATCGAAGACACCGACTGGCCGTCGCTTGTTTTTGATCTGGCTCATTCATGGGAATCGCGCATTACGCGTCCAAATACGCAGCGCACCAAAGCTTCCGAGCGCCACAAAATACGATCACAACGTCGACGTCGACTGCGACTGCGGCGTCGACTACTACTATTACACTAAAGAAAAAGGTCTAAATTCCAATTAACCCGAGCTTTCATACATGCCAACAATTATTATACTTATTTATATACTTATTCAAGTATAAGTCGATCTTCTTAACTTAAGCCTGAATTAAGTACGATTCAGTCTAGCATATTCTTATATGAAGCATAGCTCAAACACGATATATTCTAATAGCATGAATCATACTCGACTTAATGTTAAAAAATGAAATAAAAAACCAAAAGGAAAATCATTTCAAACTTGAAATAAGCGTAAAACATTCTAAATGTTAGCATAATATTTATTAATTCGAGTAGTATTCAAGTCCTAAAGTCGAGCTTTTCGGAAAGTTCTCTCTAAAGTGAAATAAACTTAAAGCTTGACCGCATTTTACCAAAGTTTCTACTTGTTTTGAATACTTAATTCTTCAATTTTTCATTGTGTATACAATTCGTGTTTTTGGATGGGATGGGAACGCGCAACAAATAGACGATTGCTCTATTGAAATTATTTGAATTGAGCTCGTAATTCCGAGAAACAATTCTGATTTCATAGTTGAGGACGCATTTAATACATGTGATTCATGCCGCAGACTACGCCACGAGCCCTCCTCTTCTTCTTCTAGCATGCCCACCAGGCGCCGCAGATATTGTATTTATTTTGGCTTTCTGTGGGGGAGATACGAGATACGATTTCTATACGTACACATATTATATATAGTCGACCTGTTGGGCAGCGAGCTTTTACTATACGTCAGATTTTTCATTCATAATCTGATTGTTTAGGTGTGCATTGTTTTTGGCGTGTGTGTCTCTTTGTATTGGTAAAGCTATCGAAAGCTTTATGTAATCTTTAGATATTCCGATTGCTCATTCATAACTTGGCTAGCGTAAATTATAGTTGTTCTACATGACACTCATTATAATCTCGCGGCGGCTATTATTGTTCTGCTTACATTATGTGTAATACATTTGAACAGATCTCTGCGATCTCTCAATGTATTGCCGATTGAAATATTGAGCATATGCCCAGATTTACCCATGAGAACTCAGCTCTCAGTGAAGGAAATCTTAATGCAAATTGATTTATATGCTAGGTTTTTTACTGTGGGAACTACATAGTACGTATGCTAAAGCGGGCCGGAACTGATTACAATATTGTCTAGCTGTGATAGGAATGATTAGTTAAAAATTGGGGGGTTTCTAGGAGATAACTAAACGAAGCATTCTGATTAATGCTTTTATCAAATTGAGCTGCAAAATCATATAGATTGGAACAGTAGGTCAATAAGAGAGTTAGTTCTTAGAAAGCTTATCAAGCCCAATATATGTATGTGTGTATATATTGGCCAAATTTGACATTATTTTGATTAACACATTTTAGTTGAGCTCTTTAAGGAAAAATTCGATCCCAAGCTAAATCTGACTTTAGGAATCACACACAAATAAACCTATTTGTAAAAGTGAACTTTGGTTTAAACAAATATTAACTGCTTTCTTGGGAAACTATAAAAGATACCTTTTAGTTGATTTGTTGTGGGTTGGTCATAGCTTGATTTATAGATTATCGTAGCTTCCTCTCATTACTCATATGTAGCTATTGCCGGCTGAGAGCTTTGAATTGTTGCTAGTTCAGTGCAGCTCTTCCCTGATTTCCTCGTCATCTGCCTCGTCATCGCTGTTCGTTGTGTTTGCCGTGGTTGTTGTTGTTGTTGTCATTGATATTGTGGTGGCTGCTGTTGCCGTTCCTGTTGTCGAGGCGGTCACTTGGCGTCCCGAGTTCCAAATCAGATCAAAATCCAAATCGCATTCCTTGGCAACGCGCTGAACCAGCGCCCTGTCCACCAAACCCGAGGCGCTCCACGAGTTATCCTTGACGGCCAGCTCCTTGAGTGCTCGCCCTGCCTCCGGATACTGCTTGGCATAGACCAAAGCACGCACCAGCATCGCCAGTATGTGGGAGTGGCGTATGGGCGGCTGCTCGGGCTTCACTGTAAAGCGAAATGATTCTATTAATAGCTTCTATATGAACTAGCGGGTATACCCCGGCCTTGACCGTAATACGAATAAAATAAATTCTCTCAAAGATCTGATTTAGAGGCCAAGCCATTTATATATATAGATTTAAGTGCCAAATTGATTTAGAGGCCAAATCATGATCAAAAAGCAAAACCTCATGAAGATCGGATAAGATTTGACCGAGTTATGTAGGTGGGAAGTTTTCACCTATGTCTATAAGGGATATTTAAGGGAACCATTTTCACATGAATTTCGACCAAAAATAAAGTTGTCAGATTTAAGTGCCAAATTGATTTAGAGGCCAAATCATGATCAAAAAGCAAAACCTCATGAAGATCGGATAAGATTTGACCGAGTTATGGGGGTGGGAAGTTTTCACCTATGTCTATAAGGGATCTTTAAGGGAACCATTTTCACATGAATTTCGACAAAAAATAAAGTTGTCAGATTTAAATGCCAAATTGATTTAGAGGCCAAACCATGAACTGCAAGCCAATCCTCATGTAAATTGGATAAGATTTGACCGAGTTATGGGGGTGGGAAGTTTTCACCTATGTTTATAAGGGATATTTAAGGGAACCATTTTCACATGAATATCGACCAAAAATAAAGTTGTCAGATTTAAACGCCAAATTGATTTAGAGGCCAAGCCATGATCAAAAAGCCAAACCTCGTGAAAATCGGATAAGATTTGACCGAGTTATGGGAGTGGGAAGTTTTCACCTATGTCTATAAGGGATATTTATGGGAACCATTTTCACATTAATTTCGACCAAAAATAAAGTTGTCAGATTTAAACGCCAAATTGATTTAGAGGCCAAACCATGATCAAAAAGCCAAACCTCGTGAAAATCGGATAAGATTTGACCGAGTTATGCGGGTGGGAAGTTTTCACCTATGTCTATAAGGGATATTTATGGGAACCATTTTCACATGAATTTCGACCAAAAATAAAGTTGTCAGATTTAAATGCCAAGCCAAACCTGAATCGATAGATTGAGAGAGGGGGGGAAGTTTTCACCTATGTTATAGGGAGGGAACCATTTTCAATGAATTACAAAATAAGTTGTCAGATTTAAGCCAAATTGATTAGAGGCCAAATCAGATCGAAAATCGGATAAGATTTGACCGAGTTATGGGGGTGGGAAGTTTTGACCTATGTCTATAAGGGATATTTAAGGGAACCATTTTCACATGAATTTCGACCAAAAATAAAGTTGTCAGATTTAAGTGCCAAATTGATTTAGAGGCCAAGCCATGAAGTGCAAGCCAAACCTCATGAAAATCGGATAAGATTTGACCGAGTTATGTGGGTGGGAAGTTTTGACCTATGTCTATATAGGATATTTGGGGGAACCATTTTCACATGAATTTCGACCAAAAATAAAGTTGTCAGATTTAAATGCCAAATTGATTTAGAGGCCAAACCATGATCAAAAGCCAAACCTCGTGAAAATCGGATAAGATTTGACCGATAGGGGGAAGTTTCACCTATGTCTATAAGGGATATTTAGGGAACCACATAATTTCGACCAAAAAAAAGTTGTCAGATTTAAGCCAAATTGATTTAGAGGCCAACCATGATCAAGCCAAACCTCTGAAAATCGGATAAGATTTGACCGAGTTATGGGGGTGGGAAGTTTTCACCTATGTCTATATAGGATATTTGAGGGAACTATTTTCACATGAATTTCGACCAAAAATAAAGTTGTCAGATTTAAATGCCAAATTGATTTAGAGGCCAAACCATGAACTACAAGCCAAACCTCATGAAAATCGGATAAGATTTGACCGAGTTATGGGGGTGGGAAGTTTTGACCTATGTCTATAAGGGATATTTAAGGGAACCATTTTCAGATGAATTTCGACCAAAAATAAAGTTGTCAGATTTAATTGCCAAATTGATTTAGAGGCCAAATCCATGAATGCAAAAAGCACAAACCTCATGAAAATCGGATAAGATTTGACCGAGTTATGGGGGTGGAGAAGTTTTGACCTATGTCTATAAGGGATATTTAAGGGAACCATTTTCACATGAATTTCGACCAAAAATAAAGTTGTCAGATTTAAATGCCAAATTGATTTAGAGGCCAAACCATGAACTACAAGCCAAACCTCATGAAAATCGGATAAGATTTGACCGAGTTATGTGGGTGGGAAGTTTTGACCTATGTCTATATAGGATATTTGGGGGAACCATTTTCACATGAATTTCGACCAAAAATAAAGTTGTCAGATTTAAATGCCAAATTGATTTAGAGGCCAAATCATGATCAAAAAGCCAAACCTCATGAAAATCGGATAA